CGTTTCGCACGTACCTCACGCGGTTGAGATCAGAAGCAAGGCGACGTTAATCAACACAAGGTGTCCATAATCTTCGATTGCTCGCGGAAATTAGATGAGCCGTAAACGCTCGCGTGATATTCTTCGCGAGAAAACCTTAATTACGCAAATGGTGGCGTAATTACGGCAATACCGTAATCAAGAAATTACAAGTAGTTACCTATCGTTATCTCTAATTAATTAGAGATTGCGATACGAGGATAACGTTTAATTGCTACGGAATTTCTGCAGAGGGAAGGACGTTGCTCTCAATTAATTGTTTGCATTGAATTGCATATACACGCAATATGTAAAATTTATATCGGTAAAGTAATCTGTTGTAATGCGACCCAGATATAGATCAGATAGGTTTATCGAGAATTCGCATAGATTTGCATGAATTACTCATTGGGTAATTCCCATAAGCCGTTGTAATTTATAGTCTATTAGACCGTATCGTTTCTCGATCTGTGCTAGAATAAGATGCCGCTGGCATCTCCCGTGCGGGAGACTGTGATAAATAGATAGATAAATATTTACGTAGGAGGAGAGATCGATCGATTCAGATTCAGATTTAGATTCACTAGAACGCGTAAACAGGCTGAGGACAATGAGGAGAGGGGAGGGAACAAAGGATAGATGTCACCGATCGACGATGAATGAAGGGTGAAGGAGCCCGTCGAGTTGAACATTTTCGCGTCTCGACGAGAAGTTTCCGCGCACTTGAGAGCCCTCGAAACTTTTCAATAAAGTGTAAACTTACTTTCCATACGTCTCGAATGACAAAGTTCGTTCCGCCGCTATCGTTTTTCGAAGGAATTTAGGGATGCTCGGGAGACGTTCCCAAGGGCGTTGTCGATAATCATTTTTGATGCGCTCTGGAGAAGTTTCTAGCGTAATCCTGCTGCACTTGTGACAGGATTCGCGCGCGAACGCGGATAGAAGTCACGCGAGCGCGGTGATGCAAATTACTCGAGCGCGTTGAAGGCTTCGTACGCAGATAAGGCTCGAAATATTTTTAGATTTTATACCTAAAGATCCGAAAAATTGTAATGAAAAATTTTTCAAATTTATTTAAAAATCCAAAGTCGCTGCACGCGTAACAGGTTAATGTTATCTTACGATGTAATTTATATACGTACACTGCTGGCAATTTAACGCAACAATTGAGGGAGAATGTTCTACAGAAATTCTGCGACAATTAAATGCTATCTTCTTAGCGTAATCTAATTCGCACTTTAACAAACACTTACTTTAATAAAACGCGCGCTTAGCGCGCAAAACCGCGGGACTGTTTTCTAATGTTGAGAACGTCGGCGTAATAAATAATATCTCTGTGTCCATCTTGTTTCTACGTAACGAGCACTCCCCGTTATACGTTATTCTCCGCGAGACGGTGCTCTCCGCCGAGTTTGGCGCTCTAACGGCCGACACCGCCGCTAATTGCCGTCCGTATAATTACCATATCGGAGAGATAAATATAGAGCTCTTACCTTCTACGACCAACGAGACGGCGCGCCGACGTTACGTCCGCGCCGTTTAAAGTCCTCCGGAAAGATAGCGCGGGGGAGTGGTATAAAATATGAGCTTTGAACACACGGAGTCGCGCCGCGAAGATTCTAACGAAGTGCTCTACTCGTCGACAAACCGCCTTGTTTATGAATCAATAAATATTTCGATTCCCCGTGCTTTTAATATCGTCCTCTCGACGGCGATTTGTCTATCGAATTGTTTGAAAAACGAAAGAAAAAAAAAGATCAAAGCGTCATAAACTCTAGCGTTCCGCGCAGGGAAGAGAAGAAATTCGCGTTGTAGACGTTAGATTTACGACAGCGTGCTCGAGATTTATGTGGCTACGCTATTAGTCGTATATGTCTTTCGAGTTACTATTTCTTGCGGATATCGTGAAACTTGAGCGTCATTTTAAAATAAATCTTGAATACGTGGCCCGCAATACGCGGACGTTTACGGCATAATAACCTGCACGGAGAAATGTTATTATATTTCGGCTGTCGTCCGCTTCCGTCGTCCGCTTACCGAGGAGCAGGTAATATATTCCAAAGGAAAAGAGATAACAAGATCCTCTCCGTGTGGCGTCCACAATAGTTGTTACGGAGGATCAAAAGATTAACAATGGCCACTTGACGTCTATTTAATAACCGACTTCGTTATCTCGGCTTTGCAACCTTCGCATATGCATCCCGGAACTCTTTCACCAGTCAAGCACGAGACACAGTTACGCAATTGCGCGTCTCTGAAAGTACGACGCGCGTTTTCCGTTTAAATGAGGCTTCTCTCTCCCCTGATTGTGAGGGATTCGTTATTGTATTGCAAAAGTAGCTCGTATTTCCGCACATGGAGACTGATCTTCGTGCTCGCGCGATCAATCAAAATTGGAGAAAAAAATTGCACGGACGCGATCGTCTCTTCGTACGTCGCGGGAAATGAACATCGCTGCTGTTGTTCACATAACTGCGTCCTCGCAGATAAGAGATTCATTTACGCTCGATTCAGCACCGTCGAGCTATCGTCGCGCGCACGACGTGCGCACCTTCGCGTGCCGCGAACGGCAAGTGCCTGCTGATTTTCCGCGACGACACTTAATTAATGTCCGATCCCATGCCCGGGGCACAGAATGTCTCTCTGGCTGGATCTCCACCAGGAAGCGAGGTCAGGGTGGAAAATTATCGTGGCGCCGCCATGCCGTGCCGCCGTCGAAGCGAGACGTCGCGGACCGCCCGCGCACGAACGTCCCACCATCTCTCTTTTCCGTCTCTTCGATTCTCCCGGCGGCTGCTCTCTTCTTTTGCGCTCGAGGTATAGACGAGGAAGAAGACAAGAGAGAGAGAGAGAGAGAAAGACGGAACGAAAAAGAGACCGAGGGAGGAGAAACACGATGCATGCTGGCAGTGGCGACGCCTAATTAGCGGTGCCGGAAATGAGGCGTAGGTACCACGAAATTAGTATCTTGAGACATCCACTCGCGCCCATCCATTCGCCATTCCTCTCTCGTTCTCGGGCGGAATGCGCTAGATCTCCCGTGCGTCCCGGACATCTTCACCGCGCCGGAACGCGTCCTGGAAGAGAACGCCGAGTGAAGCAAACTTCCGAGATAGTTGCCCGACAGGTGCTTTGTGTAACTTAATCAAGGGAGGTATCCGCGAGAACTATCGTCGCTCTCACGAAGCTGCATCTCAGTGGATTTTTCTTCGCGAAAACTTAAATGGATGCTACGTCTTTTCGCCGTTTACCTTTCGATATTAAACAGCTTCTGTAATTAAATCTCAAGTTAAGCTTCTGTTGACGTAATCGCTTGTGCTTTAAAATCAGTGCAAAATTTTTAATTGAGAAAAGCTTAATTTGAGTTGATCGAAGATTTTGTAGATGTAGAATGAGCATACCCGAGAGACACGTGTAAATTTTTCATCTATAATGTATTTTCGGGAGAAAAACGTGTGTCGCGAGCATAATAAAGCACTATAATTATAAATTGCGCATTCGGATCTCCCATTAATATTTACAGCGCTAGTTGAAATTATTATATTTTTTCATGTATAATTACAAACTCTATTATTTAATGTTACGCGCTAGCAACAATGCACATTTGATAAATGTAAATAAATATAAAACCTAATAACATGTAACGTTGATTATAGCGCGCACGCCAGGCACTTCATTATTTATGAACTGCGGAATTATCTGACGTGCAAAAACGCGACCGAGAGTTCCCAAAAATTGTTTAAATTTTTACCTTCCACAACACGCTCATTGCAATGCACCCTTCTCTCTTTCTCTTTTCTCCCCCTCTATATGTATTTTAATGAATGTATGTTCGGATTAACTTCAGTAAAAATTTATATAATGGGTTGATTCAGAGAGCGAATATACAAAGAGAATATTTAAATGAAAATGTCTGTCTGCACCAACTCATGTCACTAGTTAGAAAGCTTTCACTAATGTCAGTGTATTTTTATTCTCTACATGAATCGCGCGAATTATATAAAATTACCTACATTAAAAGAATTGCGCTAACAAGAGGGTACATTATAAAATGAGTTCATTGCAGAAAAGCGCCATATATTTCCGCAAGAATGAAAATATCGGGATATACATTTTCTAAATCTTTGCAATATAGGTACTGCATACAAGATACGATACATATTTATTCGTCTTTCGATGAATACATGTGTATTTTTAATAAAAATGTACTAATTATAATTTTATGAGATAATTGTAAGCAATTTAATTAAAGGTTTGCTTCGTACCGATAAATTGTTTTGTATCTCATTGCAGTACGATCTCGGTTTTCAAACAGATAACAATTTATTAAAAGTTTATCTGCGTGTGAATCGTTATTCTTTATTTATGTTAAGTTTAACAGGAATAATTTATAACTCTATTAGAATATTCTATATTATCTTTCCTTCTTGTATTCACTTTTTCGCTACTGTTAACTTCTCTTTGCGATAGTCGACATTTGCGTTAGGGTGCGATTTACGAGTAACAACCCCTCACGTGTTAAGCCCCAACGTTCATCTCCCTGCCACGAGTGTCATTATGGCGACATTAAACTAGCCGGACAATGACAAAGCTTTGCGATTTAGTACGTTACGAGCAAACGTGCCGAATTCTCATGCAGTTTCGTTTTAATAACCAAAAGATCGATCGATAATCTATATAGTATTTCTATTGTTTTATTACATTGCCTGTGCCATATCTGCTACTTCCTTATACGATAGAAATAATTATTTCCGAGGCTATTATTCTATGTCACGGTCAGGAGAAAAAAGGACGCGTTCTTGAATGGGTTTTTCGTTTCCCATTCATCCGTTGTAATCGAGAGAGAACGCGGGATAGAGAAGGAGCGGATACCCGTGGCTATGCCTCGGATATTTTATTTCCCTGCGTTTCTCACAATGCCGTGCATTTTCTTCACAATCGCCACGCTGTTCGTTGACTGAGCCCTCGCTTTTCGCTTTCAGGGATTTGCGACCAGTGAGTTTGGAGAAAGGTCAAGAGACCCTCAGGCTCAGAGTCTACGCCTGCTACGCCTGGGGTGGGCCCTTCCTCGTCGCCGGTCTGGCCGCGCTCCTGGATCATCTACCGCCTCAGCCGCAGTACACATTTCTGAGGCCCCGCTTCGGCGAGAGGCAGTGTTGGTTCTATGGTAAGTTCTTACCTCGCGTCCGCAGCCCCTCGTCACTTCTGCGTGAACTATCTTATGGATACGCGTGAACTTTCTCCCAACCACCGTTGCCCTTCTGGCTCTCGCTCCCGACGTATTATCAGATCCCGTCAAATTTGCATCTCCTGAAATAATAAGGGTCTACTATAAGGGCAACCCGATTATTTTAAGGAAAAAAATATCGAGACGAGCTCTAAAGTAGACAGCACATTAGTAACTTGATTTTTGAAATAACGACCGAGTCCAAGATTTGATACTGATTTTAGTGAAAATACGGTAGCAGACGAGAAGGCTGTTAGTTAAGTATAAAGTCAAAGTAAGAGGAATAGATTTATTTCTAACAAAGGATATTAGTTTTCTCTGTCAAGGAGCTCATATTTCGTGACTGAAGTCTCGTCGTTAGCAACGCGACATGAAACAGACGGTCGATATATGTAGACATACAAACTAGCGCACGTCTCGATTAAATAAAGCGATGTGTTTGTTACACGGCTAGCGTAATGATGCAATTGGGGACGAATTGCTTGTCGGACGATAGTTCGAGCTAGATCATTGCTCTAATTAAACTTGGTAACGACTATAATTCAGACTCCCTTTCGACGATACCGTGTCTACGATAATGCATTATTATGTACTACCGAAATGCGCTCGATTCTTGCAATTCAGAACGATCGACCGGCCCAATGGGAATTATTTACAACCACGTCTGCGATAATTAATAACTGCGATACATTCGTTTCCCTTCAGGCTGGCTCCGCGCTACGGGGAAGCCTTTACCATCCTCGTTACCAATAAATGATTCAACCACTCGCAAGCCGAATAATCGATCATTCGCTTGGCGATTAATATCAACGGCGGAATGTGCCTCATCTTTGTGAATTAATTTATTTCTCCTTGCTGCAATTAAAGTCGATATTAATCACGCAGCAAGATATTATATACGAGATCGCTTATCAGCCGATTTATCAAGCTCGGCTATCTTTAACGTTATTGCGGCGATTAATATTATTGTTTATTTTATTTCATTCGTTTCAATCTTCTCGGATGCAACATGCAACGATCGAGTTATTCGTTTTTTGTTATTCGTTTGAAGTATTTTAATGAAAAATATGCAGAATCACAAAAGTCGACCAGGCAAAGCCTTCTCTTTGTGAAAATTCAAACATATCGCCTCTTTTTTTTTGTCCCTTACGATACTTATATAAATTCCATTTCGATTTATAAATTCCAATCTAAATATCAAAATATACGTAACTGATTGTGCCTGAAACTAAAGTCATTTTCATAGTAATAAGATATCGATTTGACAGACAATAATAGAGCTTATTATCGAAAGTAATACGTTGCGAGCAGACCGTTATCCGACAATCCCTTGTGATCCGATTATTCCGCCAATTAATAGAACTGGTCATCCGCGCTCTCGCAGTGCCGATTAAATTGGTTTTGTTAATCGATCGGTCGTGTCGAATTAATTACTAATGAAGTACTGCCATCCGGCACCGGCGCGACCGACGTCAAAAAAATAAAATGATGTCGCGAATATAATCGTTGTTACGCACACATAATTAGAGATAGTGATTGTCCCTAGATTTCATTTTTTTTTCTTGTTGGAATCTTTGTTATTTTAAAATGTTTGTTCTCGTTTCCGATTACTCTCCACGAACAAATAGCTATTGAAAGGTATCGGAACATTGGTATTTCCGTTTTTTGCAGTGAATAAACCGGGTTTAGATTGACAGAGAAATCCGCGGCTCGAAAAAGTTATTCGAATACGTGCGTTTGTATTTGCGCTTTCATACGAAATGCACGTGTAAAGAACACGTGCGGATACGATACTTTTATTACACATATGTACACGAAGGATATTCATATAAATGTATATTTGTATTGTAATACATCATTAATACGGTTGAATGACTGGCACTCGACTCGCGCAAGAGGATTACACGCTCCCTGAAATGTTACGTACAAACCGTGTACGCCTCTCTCGTACGATTTCTCCCCCCGGGATACATAATTATCCGCGCGTACAAATAATCGATTACAATAAGGAATAGAATGGCGCGGCGGCCGCTGCGTCGGCTTCTGCGTGGCGCATTAGCGAGCGCGGATACTTCCGTAAGAGGATTACGCGTCGGCCGAAATATTGTATTTAAGTATGACGTAGGGCGGGCCGAAGATCGATACCCCATCCCGAAGCGCCTTTAATACCCTCGGATCCCCAATAATAACCGGCAGACGCGGCCTGATGCCTGCGGATCTCCCTGTGAATCTCTCGCGGGCCGAACGGAGATAATAAGGTTCAACGTCGTAACGACGGCGAGGGGGGAGAGGAGGGCACACAACTCTATTCGGTGAGTCGGGCTACGGTTTGTTATGCCCGGCCATTTAACGACCCGTTTCCCCACGTAATCCACGTCCCGCAATCCCGGCCGCGTAACGCTTTGCGTCGTGAAGTTCGTCTATAGATGCGCGCCGCAAACACGCCGCTCGCCGGCGCGGGGTATATTAATTACGCCAGGCCGCGATCCGCGCCGCGCGCACCCCGCTGATTAACGCTCACTTTTTACATGCCGGATCCACGGATCCGCGAATCCCACCCCTGTCGCGGCCAGAGATTGCAATTACAAACAACCAATCCACCTCGTCGCCGCATTCCTCAACCACGACTGTCCGCGTGCGTTGCGGATGGGAGGATCGATTTTTCCCCCCATTGGAAAAAGAAGAATATCAAAGAGCCGAAGGGGATAATAATTACCGGCGCCTCCTGACTGTACACGCGCGATGCGCCGATGATATTTCGTAAACCCTTTCTGTTACTTGCAGCGTTACAAAATTAAACAATAAAGCGACAATAGCAAATATAAGATAATATCCGCAATGCATCGAAAACATTAAAACGTTTATTATTATCTGGAAAGGAAATCGCGTTAATGATAAATTTTATAAATCTATAGATTGAAATCAATACATGCGATTTGCCATTATACATTTTCCCGTTTTTTAAATTTTAATTTGAACATTTCAGAAAATACAAACAAACCGTAATTTATCAGTATTGACAACACCGTCTCTTTCTCCTTTTTATCCCTTTCTTTTCCAAATATTCGATCAGTTCCTTGCAGAATCTTCCGAAGATTGTCGCATCTTAAAATGATAAAACGCTCTTAAAACGATGAGAGGAAGAGGATGTTTCACGTTGTGGCTTCAACTACCTTCTTTCACCGTACAATCTCGCCTCTTCTCTAGCAGGGGCCGATACCTGAGCGCGTACAAAAGCCACACCTGGCGGTGTTAGAGCCGCCCGTTCTAAATCGGGATAATGGTATCTCGTGGGAAACTACGTCGGGGCCATCGCGAGTTGTTTCCCCTGACACAATGTTCCTGCAGGAGACGAGGGGCGCCGCCTGCGCCACGAACACAGGCAGCGAGCCCTTTTCCTCCCTCACCCACGCTATAACGGCACTCCATAACGGCGTAGGCCGAGGCGATAGGGGAGAGAGATAAACCTGGCGCCAGCTAGTCCAACCCCGTCGTGCGAAACGGCCGAAACCCTCGTTCCCCCTGCTTCGTAGCCCGGCTATACGGCCCATACTAATAGGAATGCGTGTATGCGCGTTTAAATGGGCCCCGAGATTGTCCCCCATTTTGCGTTTATATCCCTTGTTTCTTGACTTGTATTTAACGTCGTCGAGTCGAACGATAATAGCGCTTTTAGGTATAATCGATAACGAAAAAAGAGTGCACGGAGAATTGTGTACAAAGATTTTGAATTTATCTTTTCTTGATGAAAATATTCAGGGACATTGCAGTCTGTGAGAGATTAGCAACTAATTGACTGAAGTTAAAAGCGATTATAAGCGGCTTATAATCAGTGAACTAAATAGATATCTCTTACTGGCAATGCATCAAAAATAATTTTGTCATCTGTGGAGTAGTTTTCGCTATCGATCTGTCTTTAAATTAAATATTCAGCTATATTTAGTTAGGAAAAAGCTCAAGATTTACTGTGTGATTTAATTCAGTGCATATTTCTGCCTTTGCGGATGGTAATTTAAGTGGATTAGAGGGACTAGGCGCAAGTAGCGTAAAATATTATAAAGGGAGTCTTATGTGCGTTACGCTGATTTATGGCAATAAAATCACTTTCATGAAATTAGAATAAGTAGCGGAATACACCTGCGGGTGTATTTACTACTATTGTTATTACTATTATCAGTTTGATATACAACTATGTCGCCCGAGAATTCAGGGTTACTCCGATAACCCGTTTGCAGCCAAAAGCAAAATTACCATGTGAAATTCATGGAACTCTCCGCTTTTCTCCTCCCGTACATACATGAATATATATGAGAAAGTACATATCGACGACTCTAAAAGCCGTTCCTATAAAAAAAAAGAATATATTTCTTACAGCTCTTTTAGAATAATAATATAACAAATTTTATTTTTTATAAATATCTTATAGCTTTATTTATATACATACCTATATAAAACTATAATAATATTTATTTAAAAAGTATATATATTACATATCACAATCGACAAATCATAAATTAAAAAATTACTCAGAATGTGTGCCATACGAATTACATTTTCTCGCACTTACATTCATAAGATCGATCAAACGTTTTGTTCTGCTGCTTAACGCGATTACTGAGTGGGAATTGAGGGAGGAACGAGAATGCGGAAGAGGGACGATCGTACGTAGTAGCGATTAGAATAATCGGAATGGTAATGAAATGCAGAGGGAATTATCGAATGCTAAAGAGAGCCGTGAAAGCACCCCGTACAAACCCCGTCCCCAAATCCTTCTTTATTTATCACGCCATTTCGTTTATTACTCGAGCTCAAGCGGACGCAATAAATTGGAAATTCAGATACGCGAGATTTATTTTATTGTAATGCAGTTAACGGAGTCTTTTATACCGCGTCTTGCAAATTATTGCCTGTTGCGCGCTCCCCAAGGAAAATATTCACAT